AAATGATATATTATCTAAAAAACGGTTARAATCTTTTAAACTTATCATTAAACACAATCAAAATCTTTTAAACCTATCATTATCATCTACAAAACGGTTACGATTACAAGCAAACCTAATCATGTGATAATCATGTGATATGGGTGTGATAATCATGTGATAGGGATGTGATAATCACCGTTATACATCACTTGGATTATCGTTTTGGTTGATAAGTTAAATTTTTGGTGTAATCATGTGATATGAGTGTGATAATCATGTGATAATCATCGTTATACATCACTTGGATTATCGCTTTGGTTGATAAGTTAAAATTTTGGTGTAATCATGTGATATGAGTGTGATAATCATGTGATATGAGTGTGATAATCATGTGATATGAGTGTGATAATCACCGTTATACATCACTTGGGTTATCATTTTGGTTGATAAGTTAAATTTTTGGTGTAATCATGTGATATGGGTGTGATAATCATGTGAGATGGGTGTGCTAATCATGTGAGATGGGTGTGCTAATCATGTGAGATGGGTGTGATAATCACCGTTATACATCACTTGGGTTATCGTTTTGGTTGATAAGTTAAAATTTTCGGTGTAATCATGTGATATGGGTGTGATAATCACCGTTATACATCACTTGGGTTAGCGTTTTAGTTGATAAGTTAAATTTTTGGTGTGCTAATCATGTGATATGGGTGTGATAATCATGTGATTATCACACAATTATCACACTATCGCTTATATCCACACGATTTGGTGTGATATGGGTGTGATAATCATGTGATTATCACACAATTATCACACTATCGCTTATATCCACACGATTTGGTGTGATATAGGTGTGATAATCATGTGATTATCATACAATTATCACATTATCGCTTATATCAACATGATTTGGTRTGATTTGGGTGTGATAATCATGTGATTATCACACAATTATCACAAGGATTCCGTTCGGCTAGGGTTAACTTAAAAAATCGACTACCGATTTGGTGTGATATTGGTGTGATTTGGAGACACATGAATGAAGGAGAAGAAGACGTGATCAATGAATGAGAAGAAGACGTGGAAACGTGAAGATAAACATGGTTAATTAAAATAAAATAAAAATTATAAAAATTACTTAATTACATTACTGCCCTTATTAAATTATTTATATATAATAAAAGTTAATTTATTAATTAAAAAAGTTTATGGTTATTGAGTTGTTCTCGCATTTTCGTAAATCACAGGGGTTCTCGTTTGAACCTCCACCTATATATATATATATATAGAAAATTAATTGAATGTGATATATGTAAGAAGTATGGATGAGTTGTATCCGATGGTTGATGATGAATAAGAAATTATGAGTAAAGAAATAACATATTCAAAGTTAGAAGAATATTTTAACATACCAATGTATCAACCCGACTAACCCGATCAACCCATACGGTTTGGGTTGGGTTGGGTTGCACTTTGGTTTGGGTTGAGTTGGGTTAAGATTTTTCAAACAGCAAGCATTGGGTTGGGTTGTTCAAATGTCTTCAGTCCGATCAACCCAACCCATGAGCACCCCTATTTGTAAGTTGTAACTATTGGTTTTTAGTCAACCCCCTGTATTTTTCAAATGTTACAAATCAGTCCCAAATTCTCATTTATATATTTATACGAGAGACCGATAGTTAGAGATGTATAACAATATAAAAGCAGTTATAACCAATAATGGATAAGATTAGAGAAGGGTGGGATGGTTGGTCCACCAGAAATGAAGATCGGAGAAGACAAGGGACGATGGACAACGGTAGTGTAGGTGAACGTTAGGGTGTGCTGTCACCGCCCGTACTATGTTTTTGTTTTTTAATTTAGATTTATAATTGTACTTAAGATATATATATATTTTTTGAAAATTATTTTTAAATAATATATGTGAATATATTTTTTGATAAAGAATATATGGTTTCTCTTGGATATAATCAGTGGTTGAATAAATGTATAATATAAAAACATTTATTATATAAAATATATATGTATATAAACAACATAAAAACGACATCATTTAAGACAGTTGTTTATATGAATATGTTAATGGCGTATATGACGTCGTTTATACAATTGGCTAATATGAATACGCATATACAAGATAATTGTCGTTTTGACGAACTTTGTGAAAAACACAAGGTTACGATTAGGAACAACTATAATTTGACGATAGTTGAAAGAATAAAGGGGCGTTTGTGATTGCTTATTTGAAACAACTTATGTTTTTCTACAAAAACATTTATCAACTTATTATAAGTCAGAAGAGTTTAACTTTTTCAAAAACTCCTTATTACTGGTTTGGCACCGATATAAATTGTTTATCCAAACCCTCAAAAATGTTTATTACCGGTGTGACATTGTAACAAGTCAATAAGTTGTTTTTATAAACAATCTCAAACACCTCCTAAATGAATACATAACTTTATGCATATTAACAACTGTTTTAATTATACCATTTGAAAAGCACAATTAACGGTTGTTTGTTTAACTCTTAATAGTTTCATTAAGATGCAACATCTAAATCATTAAGAGATGAATCTTGTTTGACAAAAAAAAAATTTCTCTCTTAATGATTCTAAAACCATCTAAATGATTTTGTATCATAGGTCTCCCTTAACCATTCAACGCTTTAATTTCATCGTAAACAATTATCAAACAATTATATTTCATTTTACACTGTATCATGAGAACCTCTTAATCATTTTGCACCAAACCATTCAGCAACTGCGAAACAACCCCTGAATGGATCCACAGGGATACAGAAAGAAAACTAAAACCGAATAATTCGCTCGAACAAAACACATTTTGGAAAAGTAAAACCAACTAAACGAGACCGACTTCACCCAAAAAACGGAATAACACAGCTACATTCATATACTACATGCCCTTGCGAAAGGGTATTTGGCTAACTGTATCCGAGTTACCAGTAAAACCCAGTCTCCCAGATCAACGTCACCAAAAGTGAGAAAGGTATATACTTGAAAACAAAGAGATACAAGACAATTGGGAACCAAAATGTTAAAAGAGAAAGTGTTCAAATATATATATAATAATATTGCACACAAACAAAAATAAGTTGAAGCAAATACATGTTTGAAATATAAAAGCAAGAGATCAGCAAGTAAAATCTAGATGCTCATTTGAACCACCATTGCAGTTAAATCTTCTTTTGAGTTTTGATAATTCTAGAACAATGAAGGATCCTAAAACCCTCCTTAGATATATATACCAACACCAATACCACTGCTATAAATCTAACCCATAAAATGAGCATCTTTGCTTATGAGATCTAAATAAACTTGTCCAACCTCGACGTCCGTTTAGTTGTCGGTGAACGAAAGCTTTGTACGTCAAGATTAGAATCTGCCCGCAGATTGTTCAGAAAAACATCACCTTTCTCCGATTTAATGATCTCCAGAATGACTCCAAGAATCTCGGCTGCAAGGCCTACTTCGACGAGTTGTCCTTGCTCCTCCCCGCCTTCGTGTATCAAACGCCACGCTTCTTTATACGGGATAACGTTTTCCAGCAGCATTCTTGAGAAAATACGGCCAAGAAACTCTGGTGCTTTTGGAGCATCGTTCACTGCGTCCTCCAATGTTGATAGAACGGATTCGAATCTAGTTAATGCAACAAAAAGCACAAATAGTTTTACTATATTCAGTTTACATATATACGTTGAATCCTTGTTTTGAAATAGAACGCGATCGAATTGTATAGTGTGTGACTCAAGTTCAAGGAAAACCACAAAGAAAGGGAAAACTAAGGAATACCTTCATAACTATTCATTTCTCCGGTATGCACATGTGCATGAAAGGTTTCTATGCACATGTGCATTACCAGATGAATGAATGGCTATTAGGATGTTACTTGATTTTCCATTTTTTGTGATTTTCCTAAGAACCCAATATATAGAGACATCTTTTACAAACCTAACCATTGATACAAACCATACAAACCATACAAACCAATTAATTGAGATATTTATAAAAAATAATGAGTTTATTTGTTATGATTTGGATATTTATGAAAGATTATCAGAGTTCAGTTATTATGATCTAACGCTTTATATTATGAAACAATCAAGATATTCATTGAATCAAATATGTATTTAGACTAGATGAACGGTTGATATTGGTTGTATGGTTTGTACTAATGGTTAGGTTTGTACACGAAACCACCTCTATATACACACACACACACAAAGCTAATCATGGAAGAACCACAAAAAGGTTATAAACCGTGAGAACCAAATGCATCGTGTGTTATTTGACGTGATTTTTTATCTAAGGCTAAGATTTAGGCTATTGACTAATATATATTTGTTTCACAATGTAAAACATTTTTTTTATGTGTGAGAGATGCAAGCATCAGTTACCCTCTGATAAGCGAGTCTTGAGTTATGATTCCGTCTTGAGATCTTGTAAGGTTGACGAGGAGTTTAGCGAGTGACTCCCGCTCCATGTCTTTCCGCTCGAAAGAATCAGCGATCCAAATGGATATCATAGTTGGATAAAAACTTGGCGCGTTAAGATCTTTGATGCACAAAGCAACTTCCTTTTCATCATTAGCACTAATAACAAAAAATATCATAAATATTTCAATGAAATATGAAAAAAATGGTATTTATCAAGAGTGGAAGTAAATAATACCTGTAAAATTCTCTAATAGCCTTAATGGACATATCATGTAATCGGTCTTCAGACAAAACCTTGTCTGAACCGAGTTGTGGGGGCGTAGACACCCGACCTCCACCTCGTGTTGGAGGTGAAGATGGCGGAACTCGTTCGAAAACCCGTCCGGTATTCCTCATATCCCGGTTCACGTAATTCACATTGTGCTCCTGTATATTTGACTGGTCAAAGATGGGTCGAGGGGCTGATCTTTCAGGGACATATCTTGACCCTAAATCATCTCGTGAGCCATAACCAGTTCTATCGGGCATAGAGCCATAGCCATTTGGATTGGCTACTATTCTTCTGGAATCTGTGGCATTAGGCATCTCATGTGAGGGCATCTGTCCCCTAATCGACATCCGATTGGCAAGACCACCTTGAGGCACGAGGGTTATTGAGTCATCGCCTACGGGTCTTGTTGAAACTGATAAAGTCCGACTCTCAAAACTGTGCCGCTCCTCAAATCGGGAATCTTGGTTGCCATAGCCACGGAGCTGTTGGGGTAATCCACGGAAACCACCGGTCTGGGAATTTGAAGGCAAAACGCTCGACCCCTTTGGACCGAAGTCCATCTGCTGACCCCTCCTAAGTGACTGGTTAGAATTAGATCCACGAGCCAGTCGGTTAGATTGGGCCTGCCGCTCTTGAGCTGCATCCCGATGCACTTCTTCGATCTTTTTTGGTCCTTCCACCTTCCGTCTTTGCTGCCATTTGTTCTTTCTCAGATCAATCGCGTCCTTCAACATGAACCGCACTCGTGAAGAAAGTTTCATATTATTCGATAACTTAAACATCATGTCGAAATACGCATCCATGTGCTCCTTGGCTTTTGGGTGATCGATCATCTCCCCAATCGTGCTCATCAATTTACACAATGCTTCGAGATCTTCCTCATCCGGATTCTGATACTGACCCAACAACTTCGTTATGCATTCGTGCATAATTCTTCCGGTCAACATTCTCTTCTTGTATAACTCACCGATAAGTCGAATATTACCCAGCATACGTCTCCGAGCCTTTAGTCTCTTCTCCTCCCTTTGTCCTTCAGTCTGCTTAACCTCGCCTTCTTCCTCCGTTCGATTAGCTTCTTGTTCTTCTCTTTCCCCTCTCTCGAATTCCTCTTGGCATTTGTTCAATAGTAATCTTTTAAAAGTGATCTTCTCGTTTTCTTCACTAAAATCCGGCAATTCTACGGCAAGACCGGCACAAAAATTGGCGTACATCTCGACAAAAGTCGGTTCCATTAAGGCCTTATCGAATATTTGATCGATCACTCCGGATAGAGTACCGGCATTGTCGATATTAACTTCTTTAACTTGCTCAAAGAGTTTCTCAAAGTTTTGAGGAGTCAATTTGTTCAGAATACCTTTCAATTGCCTCTGCTTTGCATGTTCTTCGTCTGTTATCTTACCAACTTCATACTTCCGCTCGGCTTTATGCATCACTTGCATTGGAGTCTGTGGAGAGGGTATTAAGCCCTTCTGATAACCTGTCCCACGTTGCCACCTGTCAGAATCAGAATTATTACGTTGCATAGCCGCCTGACCAGGGGAGGGGATTGGCCCAGCCAGAATGCCACCAGAGTACTGACTAGGTGTCTGACCTCGTGGGGTTTTTAAGACACCAAAGTTACCTCCATGAGGTCGAAAACCACCTGCATAAGCACTTCCGGGATAGATCATGTCGGGTCTCATGTCTCGGCCTGCACCCAAAGACCCGGGTAATTTATTCCATTTGTCGTCATCACCTACATTACTTGAACGACGGTCTAGCCGTGGTCCCGCTGCTGGAGCACCTCTACCAGGGCTCGGGAATGGTTCACGATGAGCATTGACATTTGACACTATCACTGCTTCAGCTACATCGGTTGTAATCTCGAAACCTTCAGGAAGATCGGTACAGTGGTCCGAGAATTTCAGTAAGAAGTCTCTGGAATACTTCTTTGTCATTCCATCATTGTCATCCTCACTGCGATGTTTCAAATCTGCGCGAACCCGTTTCTCGTCTGTTTCCAGTTTGGGAGTAGAAATGTCGGCCGCATCTTCCCAATCATCGGGCTCAAACTTGCTGTGACCACGTTTTTCATCAGACGTAACATCTTTCTCAGAAGAATCAACCGACGCCTGCTTTGTTGGAATGTCAGAAGAGCATCCAACGATTTCAGAAGAAGTTTCTTTCTTTTCTTCGGGACGTTTATAAGCCATATAAAGATCAGAAGTTGTCCCTCGAGCATCGGCATTTTTCAAGATTTCTTTTAAAAGCTTCTTCCCTTTAGCTATATTACCCTTCCCCTTACTGGTTTCAAGCAAACCTGAAGACGAGGGAGAAATCAAACCAGTGGTATTGCTCATGATACCCTCTACTTCTAAAGTCAAAGGTAAAGTCACTGGAACAGAAACCAACACAGCATGTGATTCCTCGTCTAACGGAACAGATTCTATACTATCAGCATGGTGATCAATCTTGCAGTCATAACTACTTAAATGATCGTCCAAATTATCCGAACTTGGGATCTTATCACCATGAGAAGAACCCAAGTTCAGTGAGGAAGTTCCTGCAGTAAGAACATCAAGCTCGGAAGTGGCAATTGATGCCGATGAATTTCCATCAACATTATTTACAGGTTCTTGTTGTTGTGCATCGGGAGTCACCAAGGAGGCAGGCTCGCTTAAGACTAAATGTTTGGTGTCCAATCCAATCTCGGTGCCAGCAGCAGTTACATCTGGGACAGTGGTATGTTGATTTTGATCAACAGAATCTTTTTCTCGTTCGCTTGACCCCACAATCTCGGCCACTGACCCTTCAACCTTAGGGGCGTTATTAGAATTAGTTCCAAAACCAATAACTTCGGTAGAGTTGCGGTCGCCTTCATTGGTTGAGGGCACTACTTTGTTGCTACTTTCTAACACATCTTTGTCGGGTCCTGAGAAAGGAGTTGAGGACTTTGATGTTTCATGAACTCCACTGTGAAGGGAACCATGATCTCCTACCGAAGAACTTATAACAGAGGACGATTGCCCACCAAGCTGTGAATAACAGTGCATAATTTATGTCAAAGATTGTGAAATGCTTCTTGTACCAATAAATAAAACAATAAATAAAACCCAGTGCATTATGGCTGCACGGCTTTGCAAAAAGAAAGTCTTTGTATACACAAGCTTCCATGGGACAGCTATGATCATGGTAGCTGCGGTGAAGTAGGCACGGGTATCAACATTTGAATTTTGCAAAGAGCAAAGAGAATCTTTCATTACTCTAGCCATTGAGTTACTAACATACCGACCATCCCGTCACAAAAGGATAACCTTATCGCATACTCTTACAAAAACAATCCAAAAATCCCTAACCATAAATATTTTGAGAACCTCGAAACGACTATTTCATATATTATTCATAATAAACAATCCTGAATAATCATGAATATCATGCATTTCCATAATTCTTAAATATTATCATTATGAATAATTTTCATCATGAATATCTATCACGACATTCATCATAAATAAAACATGAATTGGTTCCCTGGTGGCTGATTCTCAAAATATTTATGATTCTCATTTAAACCTACCCAAGAATAAGTAAATACCTTATCTATGGGGATAGACTGGGCATTTTTGCCCGGCTGCGTTTGTTCCTCTTTGAAAGAGCTAGACCTATTAACCGATGCTTTGTTTGAAACTTCAGACCCACTATCCACAAGTGCCGTGGAATCCTCAACGGTGGCAGGAGAAGCAGAAGAGATAGAGTCATCAGTCAAATTCTCGGATTTCAAAGACCCAAATGCTGCAACAGATGGTTTGCTTGATGTGGCTATCTTAATAGCAATTGGCTCAGGATTTTTATGAGGATGAGTGGAGGCACCTTCCCCACCCGCCTTTTGAATTTCAGAAATCTCACATTTATCCATGGGCGGTGAGCTACCAGCCAATGACGAGTCACCAACCTTTTCTCCATGTGCACTAATTGCTGGTTTTACTGTCACCTGTTTAAACGCGTTCTGGTAACAAGATTACATCAAAACCCCTCAATCGCATAGCACTACTTTATTTTTTTACAAATTTAGTGTGACAGGACCTAATATTAAAACAAAAGACTAACCTGATTATAAAACCTCGGTGCCTGGGAACCAGGAGTGGTCTGCGCATTAGTCAAAGGATTAGAACCAGGTAGTGGGATAAAAAGAGAGCTGGCATTGTAAGGATTTGAATAATAGTTCATGGAAGCAGGGGGAAATGACGGAATTGCCTGCGACTGAGACAGCCCATGAGGGTGTGACCTTGGACCAGAGGACCCACCATTCACATACTCGGTCCTTTTATCTAGCCGCAGCTCTTCATGAGTGTCTGGGTGAGTGATCTTTACGGTTCTGCGTGTACCGCCATAATTTCCCATCTGCTGTTGTGGGTATTGAGGTCCTAAACCCATTCCCATATTTCCGAGCTGCGGGCCCATCTGAGACGAGAAATTCATGCCTTGATTTTGATGAATGATCCCCTGAGACGACATTGGATGATGTGGAATGCCCGGAACAAATACCTGCTGTGGCACTTGTGGTGGATTGGCGACAGGTAAATGCATGGGGAGCGGCACCGTATTTGCCATTCCCTGGGATTGCATTGGTGGATTTGGGCCACCAAATGGAAGATGAAGTTGAGATTGGTGAAACGGCATTTGCACGGAAACCCTGGATACAGAAGGCCTAGGAGGACCAGAAGGCTTCTGAATGTGGGCTGACACAGGGGCGGTTGAACCCAGTAGATCCCTCTTTTCTTTTGGGGTAGGATGGGCCTCACCAGCATTAGACTGATCAATGGCCCCAACATCTTTCCTTGTTAAGTGCTGTTTTGGAACAGCTGGATTTGGAAATGAACTAGTTTTTAAGGAATCAAGACGTGCCTGCAAGACGATATTCACATAATTAAGCATATTTCATTAATAATCACTTGATTTTATTTAAGGTACAACAAATATCGTATGACAAAGAACAAATATTTCAAAAAAAATGAATCACGGTTATTGACAAAATATAGGCTTTGTGAGATGAAGTTACACAAAAGTGCACCAAAACAAAGGTTGCTTGTTTCATGTAAACATTATCTCGTTTTATA